CACGTCCCAGGGGCGTTTCTAGTCCCAAAGGCATTTCTGGTCCCCACCTGTTGTTTTGCTCCTCAGCATGGCTTCCTAAAAACACTGCAGGATTTCTCAAACATGCATGAATGAGTCAGAGCAAGGCTTTGGACATGTTTTTCTTATGAGAGTATAAAATTATAATATGATATAAAACTCAAAAAAGTTGATTTTACCTGATATTGCCCCTTTAAATCAATGTTTAAAAATCAAACATCACCATCAGTTCCCCTTCATGGACAAACAAGAAGAAAACCTGCAGGAGAGGCAAAGCTTCAACAGAAACTCACATCTTTTTGAAGTCCACAGGGGTGTAGTCTGGCCAGTCGATGAAGCAGACGGCACGTCCGGGCAGCACTGCAGTTGCTGAGTAGTGGTACTGAGGGAAGGCGAGAAGCAGAGCCAGAACCCAGATGATGACAATCACCACACGGGTCTCTGTGGAGGACAGCCTCTGCTGCAGGGGGTGAATGATGGCCATGTATCTGCATGTATCACACAAAGAAACGATTTGATGAAAGTTTCTGATTAACTTCATCATCCATTTCATTTCATGCTCATCAGCTAGAAAATGTTTGACGGTTACTGATACTTTCTGAAAGCATCATTTTTCCTCACAGGAGGCCTCAGATTTCTATTCATCGATCTCAAAAAATAAAAATTAATCAAGTGAGACTTGATTGTGTTGAAGGGGGTGGAGAACATTTTCCATCTCTAATGTGATGGCACCTTAAAAATAAGTGTTTTAATACCATATTAAACGTCTGTACTTTTTAAAGGTCAGGGCTAAAATTATCACATGTTAAATTACCATGATAGACACATAAAATTACCATCATTGTTTAAAAGAAGTTCATGTTTTAATGTGTTTTACTTCCTCACTGTAAGTGACCAAAAGAATATCATCTGCTGCCATCAGCAGATTTGCTTTTATTTAATTATTTCTTCATTAAAATCTGACTGTAAAGCTGCAAAGATGATGTTCACAGCTTCAGCTTAGTATTAAATACATGCTCAGAATTTATGTTTGTGTAAATGCTTCATGAACTGCTGTTTTTTTATAGCAAAACGTTGGCTTTTAGCTTATTAACGCCAAAAAAGATGAACAATCTGATGAAAAAAATTAAAAGTTGGTGAATTTTTGTCTTTTTTAAATAAAGCCTTTCATGCTGAAAATAACTGCTTTGTGGTAATAAAATGCACAGTCAGACAGACTAGGTTTGTAGTGCTGAAATTAAAAACAGAAATAAGATCTAAGAGTGAGACTGAAGCAGACAGGAAAAAGAGATCAGGCATCCAAAGCCTGGATAAGAACCATGGTTAAATGGTACCAATGCTTTTAGATGAGAGAGCATGGGAGATCAAATGGAGGAGGAAAAGGACTGGATGCAGGTTTCTTTTGAAACCTTGAGAGATTTTTGGTAATAGAAAGCTGTAAAAGCTGCTGATATTGTTGTCTCCAGCTCTGGTTGCCAATATCATTTGGAAACTTAATCCAACTGTCTTCAAAAAGCACCATCATATTCTGAAACGTTTTTCTCATAACCTGGTGTAATATGGTGATTTCAAGATGCATCACACAAGATCCAGGAGATGTGATATCCACTATGCTCAGTCTGCTGTCATTAAGACATGCTTGTAGTTTAGGTTGGATTCATCAGGTTTCATGGATAAATATAACTGAGTATCATCAGCATAACAATGGAAATTTATCCCAAACTGTTTAATAACTTTACCTAATGGAAGCATACATAAAGTAAAGAGGATTGGTCCAAGCACTGAACCCTGAGGAACTCCATGACTAACTGGTATAAGAAGAATATTCATTATTAACATTAACAAACTGAAATCTATCAGTTAAATAAGACTCAAACCATTTTAGAGCTGTTCATGTAATCCCAATATCACTGTGCTCAGTATGCTACAGCCTCAGGGTCTGGGATTTTATTGTGGAAGACTCATAAAAGAATCCACGACTGTGCTGCACAACAACAGATGCTGTTTACAGAGCCATACTCATTGTAGTTTTACCACAAAGAGCACCAAGCATACACACCTGTCCAATGCTACGGCCGTCATGGAGTAGATGCTGGCAAAAATGGCTGCGAGGGGAAAGAAGTTGTGGAAGCGGCAGTAAACAAGACCAAAGTACCACTCGTTGTGCACAGCATAGACAAAGTTGATCACTGTGTTGAAGGCTGACATGGCAGCCTCTGCAAAGGCCAGGTTCACCTGTGGAGGAGTGACAGGATGCATTTTGTCACAAATTGCTCACTTAACCAGAGATGCCCTTATTAAAAACACCAGTTCAGGCTGTGTCATTCAAAAATTATGAACTTTTTGAAGGTTCCCACATAGCAAAATGTATCTGACCCAGTTCCAGCCAATGAAAGACACTAACAGTTGGCCCAGATAGCACAAAAAAATGACAGGCTTTAGGTGGCTCAGATGTTGTTTACCAGAGGTGGACCATGCATGGGTCAGCACCACATAAACCAAACCATAACTGGGCCAACTGTTGCACTGAAAAAAATGGGTCACACAAACCAAACCACAACAGGACCAGTTGGGGCATTGACAGATTTTGACCACACAAACCAAATCACAACTGAGCCAACTGACAGATTTGTGTCAAATAAACCTAACCACTGCTGGACCAGTTGCGGCATTGTCAGATTTGGGCTGCATAAACCAAACCACAACTGGGCCAGGTGTGGCATTGACACATTTAAGTCACATAAACCAAACCCCAACTGGGACAGTTGTGGCATTGACAGATTTTGACCACACAAACCAAGTCACAACCAGGCCAACTGCAGCATTGACAGATTTGTGTCACATAAACCTAATTACTGCTGGACCAGTTGTGGCATTGTCATATTTGGACCACATAAACCAAACCACAATTGGGCCATTTGTGTCATTGAGAGATTTGAGCAACACAAACTGAATCACAACCAGACCAGTAACAGCATTGACAAAATGGGGTCACATAAACAAAACCATAACTGGGCCAGTTGTGGCATTGATAAATTTGGGTCACACAAACCAAACCTCAATGGGACCAGTTGTGGCATTGACAGATCTGGGCCACATAAACCAAACCAAAACTGGGCCAGGTGTGGCATTGTCAGGTTTGGGCCACATAAACCAAACCGGGCCAATTGTGGCACATATTTCGGTCACATAAACCAAACCACAATCAGGGCAACTGTGGCATTGACAGATTTTTGGCCACGTAAACCACAACTTGTCCAGTTGTGGCATGCCATTATAAAAATAATGAACATTGCCAGACCAGACCTGTCCAACATCTGGTTGACAAACCACTTGTCATGCCAGCAGTCAGCAAGCAGCACAAGCTGGACACCAGATCTGGCCCACACCTATCTGTTGTGAGTTGTAACTAGAGAACATGTTTTTTATACTTCTTTTGCAAATAATTTAATTTGCTTTATTCAGTCCTACAGTATGTGGTGAAAATGGTCCAACTGGTGGTCCAAGACCAAATTTCAGAAAACATGGTGGCAATAGAAGTCATAAAAGTCAGAAGAAGTTTGCTAATAATCAATATACTGTATCTGGGTATCTTGACTTGGCACTAAATAAATAAACTTGAACTTGTATCATGGAATAATAAAAAATATGCACAAATTTAAATCAGTTTCTAAAATGATTTGACTCCAACCTTCCACTGTGTCATTATTTGATACATCAAAACGAGAAAATGAAAATGCTGTGTGTAAACAGCCAAGTCTACCCCATGATCCAGCAGCTTCTAAAAGCTTCTGAAAGTGATGCGGTAAATGACTGCAGCTGGGAATGAAAACAGGGAAAAGGGGTGAATGGTAAACAGAGAGGTTTGTGGAAGAACTCGACCCAGAAGTGCAGACACACAAAACAAAAATTACAAGAAAAAGTCAAAAACTTTGTTTTACTCAAAAACGAGCAGAGAAACACAGGGGGACATAAAAATACGTAATCACAAACATACCCACCTAAAACTGTGGGCCAGTAATGACGTATTCTGAGCATGGCAAGTCAACCAACTTATTTTATCTTTTATTGATTTTTTTTTTTTTTTTTTTTTTTTTTTTTTTTTACAAAACACTGAGGACCAAATGATTATCAGATTACCCAGTGACGGACTTGGGCAACGTGTGCAAATGTACAGAATTCTTGACCCATTTTTATTTTTTATTTTTTCACTTGTTTCTATTTTCCTCAGTTTTCCCAGCAGGTTACCAAACAATCAGACTTTATCAGAAAGATTTGACTCACCAGGAAGTAATTGGTGACTGTTCTCATGCGTTTTTGAGCCAGAATGATGTAAACGACCAAAACGTTACCGACCACAGACACCACCACGATGGCGCAGTACGCTGCAGCCCACAGAGTGACCTGCCACGCCGGCTGGATGAACTGGTTGAAGCCGCCGCTGCAGTTGGTCCCGTTCAAGCCGCTGCAGTCTGTGGCGTTCAGGGAGAGCGCATCCATCGTCTGCGCCTCAGCCTGCGGCGGCTGCTGGATGTCACTAAGAAATGCAAGACCGGTCACTGGAGTCAGTTCCGTTGCGAGGAGTCCAAGGAAATGCGCGCTTGAAAAAGCCCAGTTTGATCATTTTACGCGCGGTGACAGCACGCGCTCCCAAGGATAGAAGTGTACCCAAGCGCGTAACGCAGCACCATGGCACACTCCAGACTGTTTAACACCACACCCTCTAACAACCCCCCCGCCCCAACACACACACACACGCTTACACAAAATGGTTATTTACCTACTATCACCTAGATTGTAATGAACCAGAGATGTAGCGCACATTGTGTAATCTCTGCAGGATTAATCTGCTTTCCGCTTTTAGATTAATGGTTTTGCTTTACATAATATGATGGGTTTTAATGTGAAAATAAAATACATACCAATAAATGCATAAATAATTGCAAATGTGTCCCCCTAAAACAACTGATGGTTTAGGTTTCCATCCACTCATGACCATGAATGCATGTAATTCAGCTTTCAATGATTTATTTTATTAGATTAATTATACAATTTATTAAACCCTTTTTAAAAACAGAAATTTACATTTTCCCCCAAAAAAGATAAATATATACAGTACATACAGGTTTATCTGAACACTTTAACATAACACATTAGTGACCCTGATTGACTGCAGTTTCTCTTTGCAGCATAAAATTATTTGACAGCACCGATTACAGAACAATTCAATTCAATCCATCCATCCATCCATCCATCCATCCATCCATCCATCCATCCATCCATCCATCCATCCATCCATCCATCCATCCATCCATCCATCCATCCACCCATACATCCATCCATCCATCCATCCATCCATCCATCCATCCATCCATCCATCCATCCATCCATCCATTTTCTGCCACTTATTCACAGTTGGGTCAAGGACATGAAAGGTTCAGAAGGGAAAAGCTCTCCAACTCTTTTTGAAGCTTCCAAAGACATTCCCAGGACATGGATGATGTAACATCCTTCCAGTTCCTGGGAACTCATGACTTTAACCCAGAAAACCTCCAGAATAAGGCACCCAGGAGGTTTTTCAGTCATAACCCCTTCTCCTCATCTGACTTCTTCTGACGCAGAGAAGTAGAATTATAGAACTCACCTTATCTCTAAGGCAGCGCTCGACTACCTTAGCTGTATTTTTCTTGCCATAATACAAATTCTAACAGTCTATTCAGTAGGAATATCAGCTGTGTACTGTATCCACCTTCTGCACAACACAACTGATGGTCCCAACCCCGTTTATAAGGCAAGAAATGCCACTTATTAACCTGACAGGGCACACATGTGAAGTGAAAACCGTTTCAGGTGACTACCTCTTGAAGCTCATCAAGAGAATGTCAAGAATGTGTGAAGCAGTGATCAAAGCAAAAGGTGGCTACTTTGAAGAACCTAGAATATAAGACAAATTTTCAGTTGTTTCACACTTTTTTGTCAAGTATATAATTCCACATGTGTTAATTCATAGTTTTGATGCCTTCATTGTGAATCTACAATTTTTATAGTCATGAAAATAAAGAAAACTCTTTAAGTGTGTCCAAACTTTTGGTCAGTACTGTACATACAGGTTTATCTGAACACCTCATGAAATAAACTCATTTCACTTTCTTGTATCTGGGATCTCATTCTTTTGCTCGTGTTCCATTCATCATTGTCTGGATCATAGTCAGAACAAAGACCAGACTAAGGACAATGTCTTCTTTTCAAGAAATGAGATGAGTAAATGTTGACTGAATTTCATTTAGAAAGAAAGAAAGAAAGAAAGAAAGAAAGAAAGAAAGAAAGAAAGAAAGAAAGAAAGAAAGAAAGAAAGAAAGAAAGAAACTTGCTACAACTGGACAGACATGGGGCAACTGTGGCTGACAGGCCAGGGGAAATGACCTCCAATGAGAGAGTTGGTGGTTTGATTCCATCCTATCTGAAGTTTCCTTGGGCACGACTTCGAACCCACTGGCTCTGACGTGTGTCCCATCAGTGGTTTAAAAATAAAATGATTTATCTAGATTAGTTTTGTAGAGAGACTTAGTAGACTGCTGTGTGAATGGGTAAATGAGGACACAGATTGTAGTGTAAAGTGCTTTGAGTATCCTGTTGGATAGAAATGTGCTAAATAAGCAGACCAATTATTTCCACCTGCAGGTGGTTTCTCCATGTGGGGGTCAGTCAACACTACATTGAAAAAATTGATTTTTGGGTGTAGTAACATTTATTTAATTATTCTTTTAAATTTTACAAAAAAATATCAAAATTTCTAAGCTACTAGAATTCATTAAATGAACAATACGCATTATATTATATATCAACATTACTGTACACAAAAAGTAAATGCTAATATTATTTTACCAGTTATATTTAAGTGCTTTTTCTTGACAGCACATAAACATGAATATATTAAGTAACTTCTACTCTTCTGGGCTAAAACTGAGGGTGCATGCACACACAAAGGCTGCTGCTCCTCATTCCCTTGCTTCACTTTTCAAGGAGAGGACAAGACATGGTGGAAATAAAACATAAGTTGTCTGGTTTCTTTTGCTTGAATACATTTGTTGGTGTGCAATAGTTTGATGACATAATGTAGGTGATATTTAGTTGTCAGGGAACAGGGAACGCATATTGTAGCATTCTGCTGTGTTTGGCTGTTTGTCATGTGACTGCAGTGGAGGATTGTGGATAGGATTCATGTTTGTTGTTGCTAAATCATTTTAGGGAATTGGTTAACATTGTTCTTTCAGCAATTAGTCTGTTGTGTTACTCTAATTTGTGTGTTCATTATTTGTTAACTTGTATTAAACCGTTCAGCAGAAGTAACCATAAGTGAGAGTGGTAGGCCTAGTCATTAATAAGACCTGTGAGTTTCACTTTGTCTGTGTTGTTCATGAAGAAGAATCCAATAAAGGTTCTTCAAAACTACCACCTGGTGGTGAAGTCTTGAACAACAACAAGAGCTACACTTACTCTGTGACTGTGAGGTGTCATGCTACAATATTGTGCTTGACGCATGTGCACTGTTATAAAGAACTTGTAGGATTTACTAGAAAAAATCCTTGTAACAATTTGCACTAACATTTAAGTAAATTTAAATGCTACAAATTCAAGTAAAATTTACTCATCTTTATCTAGTAAAAGTTATTAAGAATATAGTTAAGGATTTGTGAATAATTCAGGTCAATTTTACTTAATTTGATCGAGTATGTTACAAAATTTAATTGATCAAATTAAGTCAAATTTACCTGATTTATTCACAAATTTTTAACTATATTCTTAATAACTTTTACTTGTTAATAATGAGTAAATATTACATGAATTTGTAGCATTTAAATTTACTTAACAAATGTTAGTGCAAATCATTCAAGGATTTTCTCTAGTACATCTTACAAGTTATGTTTTACAGTGTAGAGTACTGTAAGTGTCAGAGGAAACAATCCTACATTATTGTCGGTAATATGTGTTAGAATTAGTTTGTTAGTTGTTAGCCAGGAACCTGATCTATAGCCAGCACTTTTGTGTGTACTGGCTGCACTTAGACCTGGCTCACAACATGTTCAAGACATATTAACTGATGCAAGAACAAACTCCCACTTTTCCAAGTTAACAGTTGACTGTGCAACAGCCAACCATTAAAACAGCAGGTACAGTTGTAACCTGAAGTTTCCATACACTATATTAAAAAGACACATTATGCATTTTTTACACTGTCTGATGCCAAATCAGAATACATTTTTCCCGTTTTAAGTCAGTTAGGGTTACCAATTTTTTTCTATTTGCTAATTGCCTTTAAACAATTTGGGACACGTGATAGTCTTGTTTTTGGAAGCTTCTGAGTTATTAGAGACACACACGTGGATGTAATTTAAGGCACACCTGAAACACTCTGCTTCCTTGTGTAACATCATGGAAAAGTCAAACGAAATCAGTCAACAAATCTGGAAGAGAATTGTGGACCTGCACAAGTCTGGTTGATTCTTCGGTAAAATTTCCAGATGCCTGAAAGTGCCTCGTTTATCTGTACAAACAATTATACACAAGTACAAACAAGATGGAAATGTCCAGCTATCAGACCACTCAGGACAGCACATTCTCACTCTCGACTCGTCACATATTGATGCTTGGTCAGGTACCGTCTGCGTCCAGTTTTGATGTGTTGGGTACCCCCCTCGTGTCAGTTATTGACACCCGCGGCTTTTCTGGATTGCGCCACATAGGAGTCTCTGGGTTGGGGGTTTGTGTGGTTAATATTAGGGATCAGGATTAATTGTTAACTTTAGGTACTAAAGTCTGGGATAGGATATATATGGCTAATAGAAGTTGAATTTAGGGTCTGGGATAGTTGTTGCATATTCTCTACACTTTCAAAATGGTTAATATGTGGGATCTGGGTTAATGGTTAATTTTAGGTACTGAGGCCAGGGATAGGATGTCTAAGGCTAGTAGAATTTCAATTTAGGGTCTGGGATGGTTAGTTGTCGTGCATTTCCTACTCTTTTCAAAAAATATGACAACGCGCTCCTCCTCCTCCTCGTCATCTCATCAATAATGGTTATGTTGATGCTAGGGGGGTATATGCGTCAAAACTGACCTGAGGGTCAAAACTGGACGAAGACGGTACCTGACCAAGCTTCAATATGTCATGAGCTGGGAGTGAGAATGGGTTGCTCAGGAAGGAGATGGGTTCTGTGTCCAAGAAATTAATATGCTTTGGTGCGAAATGTGTATATCAACCCAAGAACAAAAGAAAATACCTGGTGAAGATGCTGGCTGAAGCTGGCAAGGGTGTCATTATCCACAGTGAAAGAGTTCTGTATCCAGATGGGCTGAAAGGCCACTCTGCCAGAAAGAAGCCATTACTTAAAAAAAACCCATAAAAATCCAGACTAATGTTTGCAAATGCACAGGGACATACTGTAGACCTTAATTTTTGGATACATGTCTTTGTGGCCTGGTGAAACTAAAATTGAACTGTTTGGCCATAATGACCATCATTATATTTGGAGGAAAAAGGGGGAAGCTTGCAAGTCTGAGAACACGATCCTAACTGTAAAACACAGGGGTGGCAGTATTATGTTGGCAGGGGGTTGTTTTGA